GAGCCAAGAAAACTTTTTAACATTTTTAGGTTGGGTGCAGTGGCTCATGTCTATAATACTAGCACTCTGGGAGCTTGAGGTGGAAGAATCCCCTGAGCCCAGGAGTTGAAGACCAGCCTGAACAACAGTAAGATTCTATCTTAACTAGAGACATGGAAAAAATTAGCCAGACGTGGTGGCTTTAAGTCTCAGTTACTCAGGAGAATGAGGCAGGAAGATCACTTAAGCTGAGGAATTTGAGGTTGCAGTGAGCTATGATGACACCCACCGCACTTTAGTTTGGGCAACAGCATCAGACTCTGTCTAAAAAACAAAACAAAAAAAATTTCTTTTTTCTGGCTGGAGCTGGGTTTGAACCCACCACTTCCAGCATATGGGGCACCCTACCTTTTTGAACCACAGGCACCACCCAAAACAAAAAAATTTTAAGTTGCTAAATCTCTCTCAAGGCAAATAAAAGGTTCTGGTTTATTTGCACGGTCATGCCTGTTGGCACCAAATGAATGTCATAAAGTGTTCAGAGAAACACTTTACAAATTAAGAAAGAGGGCCAGCTGATGCCACGCTGCCAAGGTCAATACAGGAAAAGCACATGCACTGATTCTCATGCAGGCAGCTGTGTGCGCTTACCTGGGATGAGGCCTTTGCTCTCCAAAATTGCCAGACAGTTGTCTTGAAACTTCTCCAACAGCTCTACCTTTTGGGTCAGGTCCTTCAGCTCTCCCTGTTGGAGTGCCACACAGACAAATCAGGGACCATCCTACTCCCTAGGAATAGTTGCTTTTTCTTGCCTGTGCTCTTGGACAGCCCCAGCATAAGCTTGGCTCCTTCTCTTTCTGCCCTTGGGCATTACAAGCTTGTTTACCACCCAAGGGCCATCCCTAAGGATTCTACATGTATGGCCCAGTGGCAGCTGATGATAGAGGTCTGGTGCTTCTCCTACCTGAGTTTCAGTCAACTTCTGGTGCAACTGCTTGTTGATGGCCTCTAAGACCTGATTCTTATCCTTGAGCTCTTCCTCTGATTTTTGCTTACACGGTGGTTTGAAGCTGTAATGATAGTTGTACTCATGGAGAGGTAAAGGGGTTAAGGAGTGGGCTATGGAGATACACAAAGAAGTTTGAATCCTGGTTTTGTTATATAGTTGTATATGACCTTTGGTGAGTTGACTTCCCTGAGGCTCTATTTCCTCAACATCTCATAATATTATGAAGAATAAAAAATACATGTACAATTCTTAGGCTCAGCTGCTGATACATGGTAAACATTTAATAAACAGCCTTTATCAATATTAACAAACAGCATCATCAATGTTAAACCTTTTTGAAGTTCTTAGTCTTTCTTGCTAGTGTTTTTTCTTTTATTTTAGCCACAAGTGGCAATCTTTTTTTTTTTTAATGTGATAAGGTATCAAAACAATTGCTAGTATTTTGCCTTCAAAACTTTTAAGATATGCCCTAATGATAGATATGGAACTAGAACCTATTTGTATGGACTTTTCAGATTATTTCTATTGTCAAAGACTGCAAAACTTCCAAGCTAGCCTTAAATAGAGGTGGATCCTTCTCTAGAATACTACCGCAACTAGAATACCTACCTTAAGATCACTAACCACTGCAGTCCTTCCTATCCAGAAGGCTTCACACTCCTGTTAATGGGCCCTAGGTGGGTTTGATTTCCTATCAGCAGTGGTCCTGGTGTGGAGCCCAAAAGCTCTTGTCTGAGACTCAGGATAGTAATGTCACTGATTCTTGTCTGCCCTGATAATGGTTCACAAACCTAGCTGTGCCTCATGCCTGAAAATTCCACTCAGGTTCCTGGGAATCCACCTGAGTGGAATTTAACATTAAACCAGTCCCATGAGTCATACTGATACACAACCAGGATTGAGACCTACTACCTTAAAACAGCAGCCAAGTTCATATACCCCAATGCTCACCCCTTTTTGACATTCCTTCTGTTGGCAGTGTCTGCAACCTTCATCTGCCTAGAGAAGCAAAACCAAATAAATTAACCAGAGGATAATAGTATTGTTATGTTTGTCACAAACAGGCTAACAAAGCCCTTGAATTTCTGAGAAAAGAACCAGAGATTATATACAAGGCAAACAGCACGGTCTTGAGAGCTCTGAGGATCCATGCATTTTTGTTTCAGCACAGACTACTGAAAAAGGCTTATTAATAGGGAAGTGGTGCTCTTCCTGACCACTTCAACAATCTGACAGAGATGGTGTGGCTATATCATGTCAATCTCACCCACCTGGGAAATGAATGCTGGGTGGGGACACACATACACACAGGGCTACAATGTGCATGGACCAACAACCTAGGCTTACAGCTAGGCCCCACTCCCCCTAACTGCCACTTAGGGCTGGTGTTCTCTACAGTACTGCCTATTTGTACGTTTAGAGCAAGTGGTAAAAGAAAGATGTGGTGCTCGTAGCTCAGTGGGTAGGGTGCAGGCTACATACACTGAGGCTGGCGGGTTCAAAACTGGCCCAGGCCAGCAAAAACAACAACTGCAACAACAAAAAAACAAATAGCCAGTGTTGTGGTGGGCGCCTATAATCCTACCTACTTGGGAGGCTGAGGCAAGAGAATCGCTTAAGCCCAAGAGTTTGAGGTTGCTGTGAGCTGTGATGCCACAACATTCTACCCAGGGCGACAGCTTGAGACTGTCTCAAAAAAAAGGAGAGAGAGAAGAAAAAACCACTTTTATCCTAATATTTACTGTGTCTCTTCAGAACACATCAATATAGAGCAGTGGTTCTCAACCTTCCTAATGCTGCAGCCCTTTAATACAGTTCCTGTGGGTCGAGACCCACAGGTTGAGAACTGGTCATATAGAGGGTGCTGACAAAGAGCTCAGCTATTCTGTGCTACTCAGGGACACTAATCATAGGCTAGTCATTTGAGAACCTTGTGCTCCCTAAAACCCGATTTTCTTAGTACTGAGAGATCTAGCAAGATGTTCCAACTGGATACCAGTAATCTGTTCTCACCTATTCTCTCGTCTTGATTTGGTGATTTTTGCAACATCATTCTCTAGCCCTCCTGAATGAAGATGTTTGGAAACAAGGACTTCTTTGGACCTTACAGGTAATAGACTCTTCTTAGAAGTGCCTTGAGTTTGTGTGTCTGCAAAGAAAAAGAAGAGGGTACAATCTCAAGCATCAGAATCCAACAGTTACAATGCTGTAATAAAACAAGAGTTCCATTAGAAGTTGTGATAAGCCTTTACTCATTCTGGCCAATCTTGATGTGTGAAGATTAATTTGAAAGAATAAGACTCCTAGGGTAACTGGCAACAGAAAACAAAATTCTTTTTTTTTGCAGTTTTTGGCTGGGGCCAGGTTTGAACCCACCACCTCCGGTATATGGGGTTGGCGCCCTACTCCTTTAAGCCACAGGCGCCGCCCAAACAAAATTCTTTAAATGTGACAGTAGAGCATGTTTGAGGATAGCTAAAACTTTCATTGAACTGAACAGTAAACATGAATGTAAAGATTCATAACAGCAAAGAATAATGAAAGGCAGGGTGGAAGTTGGCAGGCAAAGCACAGCCAAGTCCTGCACCATCTTGTTAAGTTTGCCAAGCACCCTGTACACTCCTCTAGGCAACACTCAAGCTTCTTTGAGTTTTTCACTCTTGGTAGTTGTGTTTAAAAGAACGTCTTCCTAATTACACTAAGAGACATCTGTGTATCCCCTGCACCTAGCAGAGTAGCTGGCATAGGAATAGAGGTTCAATAACCACTTGTTGAGTAAGTGAAATGTTTCACAGTTTCATGGGTTGATTTAAAGGCCATCTCTATACTATTTCCTCTAGTCTCTTTCCTCTTCCATGCTGATTGCCTCTACCAACTGCCCTTTTATTTATTTATTGACAGGGTCTCACTCTGTTACCTGGGCAACTATGGCACTATGACAGTTCACTGCAATCTCAAACTTCATGCGATCCTCCTGCCTCAGCCTCCTGCGCAGGTAGAACTACAAGCCTGTGCCACCAGGCTTGGCTAATTTAAAAAAAAAAAAAAAAATTTTTTTTTTTTAAGAAGGGGTCTTGCTTTTGGCTCAGGCTGGTCTTGAACTCCTAGGCTCAAGTGAGCCTCCCACTTAGGCTTCCCAGAGTGCTAGGACTATAAGTGTGAGCTATTGTCCCTAGCCCCACCAGCCCTTTTCATTTGTTTATCTGTCATTAAGTTTAGAGGTGCCCCATTTGGCATTCTATTCTGACCTTCTTGCGAGACCACTAGTGCCCTACTATAACACTCTTCTTCCTCAATGAAAAGCGTTTTTCCTGCCATGAAGGCTATGTTAACCAGTTTGATGAAAATATTTCAAAGTATATATAAAACCTGTGCATCGTACCCCATGACTGCATTAATGTACATAGCTATGATTTAATAAAAAAAGAAAGAAAGAAAAGCGTTTTTTCCAGCTCAGTGCCGGTAGGCCAGTGGTTACAGCACTGGCCACGTACACGGGGGATGGAGGGTTCAAACTGAGCCGGGCCTGCTAAACAACTACAACAAAAAAATAGCTGGGTGTTGTGGCAGGTGGCTGTAGTCCCAGCTACTTGAGAAAGGTAAGAGAATAACTTCAGCCCAAGAGTTTGAGGTTTCTGTGAGCTGTGATGCCACGACACTCTACTGGGGATGACATAGTGAGATTCTGTCTCACGGGGGGGGGGGGCATTTTTCCCTTATTAAAGTCCCCCACTGCCCCCCCCCCCCATACCATGTGCTGCCTGCCATCTATATTCCATAGCAAATTCAACTTATTTTGGAGTTAAGCAGCAACCCCCCCTTATCCTCACACACAGGCTATTATACACTATACTTTCTTTCTTTTTTTTTTTTGGTAGAGACAGAGTCTTACTCTATCACCCTTGGTAGAGTGCTGTGGAGTCACAGAGCTCACAGCAACCTCCAACTCCTGAGCTTAGGCGATTCTCTTGCCTTAGGCTCCCAAATAGCTGAGACTACAGGCTCCCGCCACAATGCCCGGCTATTTTTTTGTTGCAGTTTGGCTGGGGCCAGCTTTGAACCTGCCACCCTCGGTATATGGGGCTGGTGCCCTACCCACTGAGTCACAGGCGCCGCCCTACACTATACTTTTACTTTGTTCACTGTAAAATCATCCCGTTAAGCTTGATCTAACTTAAGAGCCATTACAAAAAATTCAAGTACAAAGCACCCAATCATAAGATTAGGATCAAGACTTTATTTATTTATTTATGAGACAGAGTCTCACTCTGTTGCCCTGGGTAGAATGCTGTGGCCTCATAGCTCACAGCAACTTCCAACTCTTGGGTAAGCAATTCTCTTACCTCAGCCTCCCAAGTGGCTGGGGCTACAGGCATGTGGCACAAGGCCTGGCTAGTGACTGGGTCTCACTCTTGCTCGGGCTGGTCTTGAACTCCTGAGCTCAACAATCCAAATGCCTTGGCCTCCCAGAGTGTTAGGGCTTTAAGTGTGAGCCACCACGCCTGCCTGACAGTCTGTATTTAATGAAGAGTTTATTTTGGTAACTCTAGCTACACAAATTTAGAGTAAGTTTGGTTTCTCAAGTAGACAAATAATTTCAGCTAGGTGCAGTGGCTTGCACCTCTAACTCCAACCACCTGGGAGAGTCAGGCAGGAGGATCATTTGAACCCACGAATTGGAGGCTGCAGTGAGCTGTGCTTTCAACACTACACTTCAGCCTGATTGACAAAGTTAAGACCTCATCTCTAAAAAAAGTAAATAAGTAATTTCAGGTTCATTTACTGGGCACCTGCAGTCTCTGTTTTCCATATTCTTACCCACAAAGCAAATGGGGTTCTTTTCTTTGAAGTGTCTGTCTGAAGTAAGAGGTAATCTTGGAGATGATTCTCCTCTCTCAAGTATTAGTAAATTAAGAACAATAACAAATATTGTAAAATGGAGGGTTTTTTTGCAGTTTTTGGCTGGAGCTGGGTTTGAACCTACTACCTCCGGTATATGGGGCCAGCGCCCTACTCCTTGAGCCACAGGCACCACCTTTTTTTTTTTTTGAGACAGAGTCTCACTATGTCACCCTGGGTAGAGTGCCATGGCGTTGCAGCTCACAGCAACCTCAAACTCTTGGGCTTAAGCGATTCTCTTGCCTCAGCCTCCCAAGTAGCTGGGACTACAGGCACCCACCACAATGCC